TACTAATCACATTTATCAGCCAGCAGCAACTAATGTTATGGGGGAACTATATGTCTCATGATCATTAAAAACTGAAAATTACAGGTAATAAGTGATTATGACAGAATCTTTATGACCTGACAGACTATGACAAAAAAGTCCGACACGTTCTTTTTTTTCCAGTTAGCAGTTTACGCAGACTGAGGCAGAAAAAAAAAAGAGAGAAAGAGGGACATTACTGCCCTTAAACAAATAATTTATATAAAGATTATTGCAAAACTAAGTGTAAACTTTACTTAGTAACACATAAGTGAAGAACAGTATTGGATGAGAGAAGCAAACTCAGTAAAGTAACAGCTTTTTGCCTTTTACGCAGAATTTTCTGTTTTGAAGTAATTTGTGTTGTTCACACATGCCAGGACAGAAGCTGCAATTCTCATGCTATATTTAGCTTGAGAAACTCTGCAAGAAAGGAAGTTACGTGTTGCACAAGAAGACCGTTTACTACAACATGCTGCTGAGTGATCTTGTCGTCTTCTCTTCAGCGAGGAGGGAGAGTAGTTCTGTAATTTCAGCCTAGAGGTGACCAATTGAACAATGTTTCTTTCAGGAATCTGTTGTAATTTGCAAGATGAGCAAAATACCTAAAAGTAAGAGGAATAATCCAGATGTTTAGTTCATCACTACTGCACAAATCCTCACAGCAGAGCGCTCCGTCTGTCTTACACCAGTAATAAACACTTCATTACATGTCAAACTGATTTACAGATGTTTAATTTCATGTTTGTGTTTTATATGGGTTAAAATTTGATTTTAATGTGTTAATATTACTCCATTATCTGTCTGTTTGCAATGACGCCCAGTAAGTACCAACAGCCCAAAGGCAGTGGGAATAGCTGAAGCATCAACCAACTTTATATGATTGGGGTAGGCTGGGCAGAAAATGTTACTGAGTCCTCAGTTGGCAGTAGGGCGGGGCGATATGGCTTAAAAATAAAATCTCTGATTTTTTCACACCAAACCCGATTTACGATTTTAATCGATTTTTTTGTAGACTGTTTTTTAGCGGGTGTTTGTGGGCTGTATATCTCGCAGAGAGCAACATTTCTCCCACTCGGCTGCATGCCTCTGCTTGAGGTGCTGGAATAAATTGGTCGTACTGCTACCTTTGGTTGCAACAGCTTTCAAACAAACTTTGCAGTGGGTCGTGGTTTGTTCGCTGTCGGACGCCACAAAACCAAACCAGTTCCAAACAACCGACGACACTGTGCCTTTTTTGAGGACGAGCTCATCCTGGCTTACTGCCATGCTGTGTTTATCTGTGGAGAGGCGGGGGGAGGGGTCAGCGCACTCTGACCTACGGGAGCCCAAAGGGAGCACCGGTGTTGTGGAAGTTCAAGAGAAAACTGATTTTAACTAAAAATAAATCGTGTTTAACTGCAAATTCGAATTAATCGATAAAATCTATTTATCGCCCGGCCCTAGTTGGCAGATTGCCTGGGGATCTTTTACAAAGAAATGTCCAGATGTCCTCTTGTAACATATTGCTAACACATAAAATGAACAATGAACTACAGAATTAAGAACTACAGTGTGAATGGGACTCATAAGTCAACAATAGAAGGCAGTTTGCTCTAGACTAACCTGGGTGATGGGCTCCACACTGCCGATGTATGTGTCTGGACGGAGAAGAATGTGCTCAAGCTGGGTCTTCTTCTGGTACACTCGCTCCACAGACAACTTGGAGCCTGCCTTATCTTTTTTGCCCCCTTCCATCTTGCCAGCATCACCTCTGCCATTCGCAGCCTCCTGTTTGGCAGAATTTGTAATGTTATTAATACATAAATAAGTCTGTTAGAAACACAGGACCTGCCAGAAGATGACTCTGCTGAGCTGTGCTGTTGACAGCAGATTATCAGTGCTCACCACCACAGGGAGAACGCCCCGGTCCTCTCTGTGGCTCTGGTGACAGATATCTAACAGAAGCAAATTACTGGCCATTATACTGTGACTGGAAGGCAGGGGTAGCTCAAGTTGTGTTTATACTGCAGTGAGCTTTAAATCTTCTTTCTATTCCAAACTACTTTCTGATGAGTGGTTCACATCTTGCACTTGCCATCACTGTATGAATGTGTGAATGGATGAATGTGACATGTAATGTAAAGGGCTCCGAGTGGTCAGAAGACTAGAGAGGCACTATATAAGCCATATATTACCATTTAAGAGATACCAGCCACTAGTCCAATATAACAAATCCAAATATTTGGAAACATTAAATACCAAGCTCTAACTGCTGGTGAGCATAAGATGTAAGATTTCTGTAACACTGAAAAGGCAATTCATTAGAATCAATTCATTTTTTAAATACACAACATTTAATTTAATATTTCATATGCAAGACAAAAAAAGAAGCATTTTGTCTCATGGATTGCAAAAATGTAAACAGTAAACATCTCTAAAAACTGAATCAGGTAAAGATTTCCAGAATACCAATGCTTGATATGCATGAAATTTTCCCACAATTTATCTTTAAAGTTTACAAATCATGTCCTATTACATGGCAGTGGGTTTAAAGTAGTGCTGCACGATATGGTAGAAAGAGTTTTGACAGATATTTCTATTGGAATATGAAGCACGATTTCTTACATCTGGAGAACAAGATTTGAAGACCAGGACATCTCTGCATCTCTTCATTATAATGCTGTTACATTACAGCTTCTGCCATTTGCATATTGCACTTGGCCATATTGTAATTTCGATAATATTTCAATTAATTGTGCAGCTCTGATTTAACGACTGGAATGGCGGGAAAGATTCTCCCTCTTGTCCCCTTGATCAAAATAAAACAGGATATCAATACAGGACTGTATGCTGGAGAGACAGACAGCTTTTACAGGTCAATCCATGTGAGGATATTCACAATTATCACGATTACAGTGATAGTGGAAATCACCACAATATAGCGTTTCTTATCACAATACGCAATAACATCTTATTTTCTGCCATCCCTAGTCTAGTGTCCTGTTATAGTGAGTCTTCTAATTTAAAAGGCAAATAAACAATTGCCTATGAAACCACAATTATTAGTGCCCATGTTAATGAAGGTGCTCATAAAATGACTATGCATCAGACTCAGAATCACTTTATTGGCCAGGTATGTGTGCGCATACAAGGAATTTGATTCCAGTTTTACATTGCTCTCAATGTACAAACACAGACTAACAGCATAAATAAACAGAACAAGTTCAACAAAAAAGACATTGACTTATATGTACAGATATATATAAACAAGCATTGGTAGACAGTAGACAATAAATACTGTAATCAATACCTGATACACTCATTGCACAAAAAGACCAGAAACTTAAAGTGGACAGGACCTTTGTGTTTAGGGTTGTAAGAAAATAATAATTTTATTTTGGGATATTGTATTGATTCTCACTGATTCAATCACTAGATAGCAGTGTTGTAAATATAAATGCAGATCTTACTGTTGTGGTGTTTTAACTCTGATTTCATTCATATGGTGGAGACATAGGGTTCACTGAGATAGGACTTTGCATTCACTGTATATAATGGAATAAGCAACGTACCTAATGACAGTTAAAGTTAGACGTAGTGTTCTATTGTATGTTAAATGTACAAGGCAACTTTCTATGGAAGCCAATTTCCGCCAATGTGGCAGAAAAAAAGGATTCTGTAAATCATTATCATGACAAACTATTGACATGGTATCTTAAAATAATGAGAAATCTTCACAATATGTTTTGACTTCGTATCTCAGAATAGTTTCTCATTATTGAGATACGAAGTTAAAATAATGAGATACCAATTCAAAATATTAAAAACGTTTATTATTTTGAGATACTAAGTCATTATTTTGAGAAATATTTTGGCAGAAATGGGCTTCCATAACTTTCGCTTGGTAACCAAGTTTTCTTCGTTTAGTTTCATTCTGTCTTTATTTTGAGGACCCGGAACTGCTGAGACGAGCTGTAATGGCAGTCTCTGCGTTTATCGGGTGTTGATATGTTTGTAAAAAGCGGTCATGCATCAGGGGCTACAGCCTTTGTGACCCGGTCAGGATTTACACTGAGACCGCACCTGGCTGGTCTTTAACTAGCGTAGCCTCCTTATGAGAATAGACACTACCGTTACTGACTTGCTAAGATATTTAAACGCTAGCTAAAGCTCCAGCGACTCGGCTCCTTGTGTTGAGGTGAACATAACAGGTTTATGTCATAAAAACACCATATAGTTAATACAACTATAAGTTAGTTGGATGTACGATAAACTAACTTACCATCCAAGCGAGCCCCCCGCTTCCTGCTGCGCCGTTGGACATCTTCCTTTGTGATCCTAATGTTTGTCCTCAAATGTCTTAAAATGTCTTCAATTCCACTGAAACTAAAAGTCCGTCTGCATAACAAATGTCTCAGTTACGGAAAGGAACCCAGACCTGTTTATCTCCCATGTTCCTTCTCCGTTCGCTTTAGAGATAATCCTTTGAATGTAGCAAAACAAGCAGAGGAGGGGAGAGTAACGCGGCTATTGTTAAAATCGACAAGCGGTGGCACAGTTGGGCCTAAACTTCCAACAAAGATGCTAACCGGGCTACTTGCTACAAAATAAATACTGTACAAAACGCATGCATTAAAATAGGTTTACAATTTTATGTGAAAACTCAACAGAATAAAATATGAGTTTAACAGAATTGCTCTGAAAACGATACACTTAAATACTTTTCATTTAGAAACAAAACGAATATTAGCTAGCAACAGCGCCCGCTGTCCGGCTCCTCCATCTGCAAGATAGACGGCAAATCGTCTCGCGGATAAACTGACCAATCAGGTGGCTGCTTTTCAAAGGCACCGGCATTTGGACCAATACGAGGTCAACATTTAGTGACGCATATTCTTTTTTCAACGCAAGATGGCGGCAAAACTCCACTCAATCTTCATCCTTGAAAGACCAGACAATTTAATGTAATGCATAGCTTAATACTAAACTCTACAACCAGACTGGGAAAATATCTTTATTATACCACCATACATTTTCAGCCCTTTCCATCACACCAACGTTAATTTGCTCCATTTATAATTATACATATGTATAGGTAGCCTGGCAGCATGACACGCTGACCTATAATGAATAGAGAGATATACTTTATTTTTCCCAAACTGGGAAATTGCAGTTGCAGAATAGTTTATTACTGGCAGGAGAACTAAAGCAACCTGATGCTGATGAGGCATCAACCCTGCTTTGCTGTGTGGCATGTCCCCATGCATCACAAATAACAGACACATTCACAGTTGATGTTACAGAAACTATGGCTTTATGTTTAAAACTCCTTACAGGTATATTGTAGACTGCACATCTTATAGGTTATTTGGCCCTTAGTTAAATAAAAAAATAGATTAAATGTGTGACAACATCTGTACCGGCAATAGGTACAAAATGTATGGGTTCATTTGTCAATCATTAGGTTATGCGTATTTAATCATCCAGAAGGGCTGACACAAATTTAATATTACACTGATTTGTCATCCAACAAAACCAAACAGTTCTGAACTTGTCAAAGCAGACGACTGTGAAAACAAATTAGGGGTCCAAGTTTTGTTGAGTAAAACATATGTTAAGCGTCTTCTAAGTGGATAAGAATTTCAAGTGAAGTCTCCTCTGTCTGCTTCAAGCTTTGTCTGAAGAGCTGAGTGTGCTGCCATGATGTCTCCCCTTCTCCACCACTGAGTCCTGCCACAACAATGAACTCAGAGGAGCCGGACAGACTCTGGAACGACTGCATCTTACCATCTGAGGGTTCAAAGGCAGCAGAGGAAATTATTAGGAGGGGTCGTGTTACAGAATCACACTTAAGAGTTTTTCACACGAAATATCTATTGCGTAACCATACCTCCAGAGAACTCTGTAGTAACCGGGCCTGCCTGCAAGTGCCAGCAGACTTTCCCAGAGTGGAAGGTCTGGCTACTGGCCATGACTGAGAGAGACTTTATCTTCAGTCCTGCTGGAGCAAAGTCAAACTTCCAGCTAATTCTTCCCGTAGAGGAGCCTTCTGTTCGAGCTATGTACACCTGGAGAAAGAAGAACAATCTGGTCACGTTGCTCCAGGATCTCAAAAGATGATCTGAGTTTATTCTACATTCTCTCATTACTTTACAACTCACTGTACGTCTTCTTTGTGTTAGATTTCCAATCTGTTTCGAATCTTAATCATATTCACAATTAAGTTTTCAAACTGCAGCATCTTGCTTTAGAAAGTGCTTATTTCAGTGCTGGTGGGATGACTGGTCTGAAAAACAGAAGTTGCTTCCTCTAACATTGGCCCTGTTTAGATGCGGTATTAACATGTGTCTTGGGTGATCCAATCACAAGTGGACCGCTATAAGTACAAGTGTGAATGATCCCAAGACACATTGAGGACAGTGAGATTTGATCACTCAGACACACAACATATACTGTCTTATTTCCATTTAGTAATGTCTGGGCTCTATTACCTGCCAAGATAAGCAGCAGATGTTTGTGGACACTGTCTATTTCAACTGATTTCACCACTGAACTAATAACCACAATATCCCCAGACTCCCTTTAAAAATGCATAATTTAGTGAGTTGTTGAGTGAGGAGGAAGTTTATCCACGAAATTCATTATTTATTTTTATCTTCACTATGTGTGCCTTCTTGTAAATTCGTAATACGCATTTACATTATTTATTTCTTTGTGTTAAAAACATTGTGTCCGTTTTGTTGTGAGATCCGATCACAAGTGGTCACTCTAGATGCTTTTTTAATGCCAGGTGTGAACGGGGCCATAGACATTCACTCTTGTCTTACCTGTTATTCTCAGTCTGATTAAACCAAGCAATGACCACAACTAGTTTCTAAATGGAAATGTGGCCTATTAGCATTGGAACAGAGTGTGAACTTTTCATTTAAAAAAAAGGGGCACTCCACCCGTTCTAAGCTCATTACGGGGACTTATTTTTATGTTTCTACAAAATGTCAGTCTTTCAGTCCACCACTTCAGCCCAGACTGAAATAACTTTAAATAACTTTTAAATGGAGAGCCATAGAATCCGGTTCAGACATTCATAGTGCCCAGAGGATGAATCCTAATGAATTTAGTGATCCCCTAACCTTTCCTTTAGCGCCACTAGCAGGTCAAAGGTTTGACGTATCCTGTGAAATAACTTTACATCCACTGGATGGATTGGTACAAAATGTGTTCAAGCATTCATGTTCCCAACAGGATGTATGTATATTGACTCTGTGCCATGACTAAATCCCTGCCAAACTCAGGGTTTCCACTCTTTAACAATTCATTTTCCAGGACATTTTCATGACATTTTCCAGGAGGTTTTCTTGACAATACAGTACAGCACTTGCTTACCAATGGTCATATAAATAGCGGTTTTGGGCAAATTGACTACATTAATTTGGCCACAGCCAATAAGTAACGGTTCACATCAACTTTCTTTTTTTTTTTTTTTTTTACATAAAATGAATCTTCTAGGAAGTTAACATGTTCGTTGCAAGTAAAATGAACATCTCTGTGCGTGTATCTATTAACCACAGCAACAAGAACATTAATCGTTAATACGCTGTATGCATGGAGATGTGAGAATTTCTCTCACAGCTGTGGACGAAATACACTGATGCCAAAGAATATCAGAGCAAGTCAATTCTTCTTTGCATCTGATAAACCTGCTTTGAAGTTTATCCTACCTACAGCCGAGTTTTAAACAAAATACCTAGGTTTATGTAGGTGATCTGAGTGAGGGGCTATAATACAAACATTTCTAGGACGCAGATTATGTCTTCATTTTAATAATTTTCTAGATGTTTCCATGACTGGAAAACTAGTCTCCAAATTTCCAGGTTATCCAGGACACGTGGGAACCCTGAAAACATTCTTATCAGCTTCAGCTGAACCTTGTGTTCAGTGCTAATTAGCAAATGTTAGATGGTGATAATGGTAAACACTACAAAGCCGAGTGCTAGGTCTCCAGTCCCTTTAAAAAAAAAAATCAAACACAGATTGCACCTGCAGTGCCTCATCATGTTAGCATTGGTTAGCATACTGGCGTTAGAGCTTAGCTCAAAGCATCTCTGTGTCAAGGACGTAGATACACAGAATGCTTAAAAAAAATCATGTTCAAACTGAAAAGCGTGGGTTTGTTAATCAAACAATATTAAACGTACCATCTGCCAGTCACTCTCCACCTTTCTGAAGACAGACTCCTTCCTCCACACACACTGATCCCAGCTCTGAATCACTTCAGAGTCGTTGGACACTCGACAGTACTGGTCTTTGGTGGCACTGTAGCGCACATGCAGTAACCGGTCACCCTTCTCTTTCTCAGTAGGAGTAAACACATAACCTTCAGCCTGAGAAAACACAGTCATCAAAACACTGTCATCTAGAGCTACAAAACATTATCCATGTTATGTTAGTAATAAACTGTACTTTTCCTTTAAAGTTTTTCAATACGAAGACAAGTTCATGTATCTGTAATGACCATCACAATATTGATCCTAAGCCCATTTTTTCAAAGGTAAATATTCATATATATTATTAATCAATAATTAAAGCAGATATAACAAAATATCAGTAGATCCATACTGCTAAGCTAGATTACAATAACATACATAATCCTGTACCTGTGTGGAGGTCCCTGAGTCAGCCCCTCTAGTCTCTCCACGTGCTATCCTCCAGGCCAGAGAGCCAGAGTTACGTCCACCCAGCTCTCCTGGTTTTGGCTTCTTGGGGGAAATGAACTCCACCAGCTCGACGAGCAGCCTCTCCGTCAGCTCCTTCTTCCTTTCTGGACTCAGGGACTGCTGCCTCTTTGGTGTCAGAGCAGATGGAAGGCAATTTAGATCAGAGTCACCAGAAAAGAGTCTCATGTGGGTTTAAAAGGGTTCAGACTTACAGAGGCATTGAGGCCATTGATGGTGTGCAGCAACCACGTCTCCTGAACCCTGGTCCTTCTCGACAAAACCTCTGGATGTTTGCAGGAATACCTCCAGGTCACATCAACAACCTGCATCACACACACACACACATATGCTGAAGTACATGAACTGTCTGCTGACTCTGGAAGAGTCTAAACATTATCAGTGCACAGCCCTTTGCTGATTGGCCCAAAGGGGGCGCTAGAAAACAGGAAATAACAACCACCACATCAAATAACAAAACAAATAACATGAAAAGACAACAAGATAGCTATTCCATAACCCTCCAAATCTAACAGCATATCACCTTAATATAACCTTAATATATATATAATATATATATATATATATATATATATATATATATATATATATTCTTAATATATTGTATGTCTATTACATCTGGAGTATATGTAACGAAAGTAATTTCCCCCTGGGATTATTTAAGTATTTCTGATTCTGCCAATTCTAACCTCATTGTAAAAACTCTAGTGACCAGCTGTTTAAGGAAATACTGAAACTGTTGTTAAAATGAAACTATATATTTAAGCAGTTTTAAAAAATGACATCTTCAGAATAAACCGTTGGGCTAGGGGCTGAGTGCAACCGAGTAGGACTCATTGTTGGTTCATTTCATAGGATTTGTTGACCATTGGCTTCATTGGCCAACTATGTGTATTAGGGCTGCAACTAATCATTATTTTCATTATCCATTAATCTGTCAAACATTCTCCTGACTGATCAATTAGTTGTTTTGTCCATAAAATGTCAGAAAATTATGAAGTCCAAGGTGACGTCCTCAAATCCTCAAGTCACATTGGAGAAGCTGAAATCAAATTTGGACAGTTTTTCTTGACTCAAAATGTTCGTCATAAACTGTCAAAATAGGCCACTAAATTAATAATTGACAACTAATTAATGAATTGACTAATTGTTGCAGCTCTAATGTGTACACATAGAAGGAATTTGACTCCGGTTTAAGTTGCTCTCAATGTTGTTATAGACTATAGCAATCTTTACCCTTTAAGGCCTATATACCTTTAATTTGGTGTTCATTTGACAGTTGTTTTAAAGCTGCAGTAGGCAACCTTTATTAAAAAAATAACTTCTTGACAATATTGCTGAAATTGTCAGTGTTCTAACAGTAGTACACGAGACAGATAATCTGTGAAAAAAAAAAAAATAAATCCTCTGGCTCCTCCTAGTGCTACTAATGGCATTTGCTAGAACCCACTGGGCCTGAACCAAAACAACCAATCAGAAGCAGGAAAGATAGAAAGACTCTTTGTGTTGGTGGCTTGAAGATAGTTGATTGTTGTTTGTGTCCTTCCCAGGTCATCAAATACTGACACTTTTGGACCCTGGGAATGAGACTCAATAACTCCTATTACCTTCACGCCTCCAATCGAAAGCGTCTTTTTATATATTTCTTGGTTGGTTGGTAGGAGGAGCCAGAGGAACTTGATATTTTCAGACTGTCTGTCTCATGTACTACTGTCAGGATATAGAGAAAGTTTCAGCAAATATGACAAAAAATTATATTGTATAAAAATGACCTAATGCAGCTTTAACTAACACTCAGAAATAAGACCATAAAAGGTTAAAAAATCTAATGTATCAATAAAATAAAAAAATCTAGCTGGACTGATACTGGCATAGATTTTAATAACCAACAGTGTGATTTATCAGACCTGGTCCTTGGAGAAAGCCAGAATGTAGGCCAGTTTCTTCTCCCAGCCAACCTCGTACAGTAGAGGCTTATCACAGACGTTCTCACACGAGTCACAGTGCAGCCAGCGACGCTGAGACACCGAGTAAATCTCTGTCCACACATGGTCTGAAACAATACATAGTAAACACAACTGATTTTCACTAAGCCTTTCATACACTTTACACACTACCTAAACTGATCAGACATCAGACCAAGTATGAAAGTGAAACATTTTGTGATGCTGCAAATGTTCCCCTATATATCAAACTCACGTGTAAAGCTACCAATACAATACCTTAAACTTGTACTATTTTAATGGCAGGATATTTTTAAATTGGATCAGTGTTTCACACAGAATTCTATTCTTGAAGGCAGAGGGTGGACAAGTTAAATAGTATGTAGACCACCGCAAAACAGAATGAGAATGACTACTAAACCGCAGCTCTTTCAGCCAAGGTGAGGCAGGTTTGAGTCTTCCCACCACACTGAAACTGTATACAACTAAGTGTGAAAGATCTAGTCTGGAAAACCTAGTAAGTGGACCTTGAATTGAGATTTTTGGAGAGCTTTCAACCACATCTTGCAGCCTAACTTAGCAGATGGAGTTTGCTCAGTTGTTAGTTGTGATTTCATTAGTGATTAATCTGCTGATTAATTATGTAGTATATAAACCATCAGAAAATCGTGAAAAATCCAAGGGGACATCTTAATTTTTTTTGTTTGACCAACAGTCCCAAAGATATCCAGTTTACAATTATAAATGACTGAAGAAACCAGAAAATCTATTTTGTTTTGCCTACATTGTTGGGTTATCAAAATAGTAAGTAATCAGCTTTTTTGTTGCAGTTTTAATCCTGACAACTGAACTTAATAAATACCAACTGAGCAAACAAAAAGCTATTAAGTGGACCGTAACTTTGATTTTTCTTTGCTATAATAACACTGACTAGTATTAAGGATTCCATGTCAACATCCTTTCCTTCTAATATGTCTAACACAGGCGTCAGTAAACTGCTGGTGGCAACACAGGAGCCATATCTGTCAGTCGTACTCATACCTGTGCTGTCCCAGATATATCTGGCCTCAAGGCCCAGGGCTCTGCAGCACAATGTGAAACAATTAGCCCACTCCCCACAGCGCCCCCTCCTGGTTTCAAGAAGCTTCTCAGGATTGTTATACCTGGTATAAACAATAAAGAGAAAACAAGCATGCACATCAGTTAAAGCAATCCATTACTCTCTATGTGCTTTGTGGTCAAATTCAGGAAATTCTTTTTACTTTTAGCATTTTAAAATGTGTTAAGTTAGTAATATAACAACAAAAGTGGTCAGGGTGGTCAGCGTTTATCGGACACTCCGCGTTAGCTCGCCTTCATGGCACGCTTGGCAGTTCTCACCACAGCGGAAGTGTTTGTTGCACATGCAGTTATTACTGCTGTGCATGTATTTGACGATCACAACAACAAATTTGATGATTAATAGGCTGTATGTATGTAGACATGACCATTCACAGCAGTTCCAACGAACTTCTCTGAGAATTCTGCTTCCGCTTTGCGTCTGCTGTGCACAGCTAGACTGACTGACATGGGAGCCATAATGGTAAACCAGCTTTGAAGTGTCATACCGTGGAGCTTATCCTACATTTGACTTTCCAACAAAATACACAACTAGGTTTATATAGGCAATGTAAGTGAGGAGCAAAAACACTAAACTTTCCAGAACAACATAAATTATTTCCAGAATCACAAACTGATCCTAAAGTATTAACAGGGTTTCTGCAGCTTTCCATAGGTTAAATGTCTCAGTGACCTAAAACATCACACAAGCAGAGACACACACAGACCTGGGGAATCTGGTGGAGAGCCGGCAGCTCCGACAGTAGTGGTCCTCTACTCGCTGGGCTCCCCAGCGGAGGTCATCGGTGGTGGGACTGAGGGAGCGGGCGTTCTGGGTCGTGCCTCCGCAGCTGCTGCATGGCAGACAGTTCACCCAGGAGAAGAAGTCCTGTTTGAACCATCTGAGCAACTCCAGCACCAGGAAGTCTTCTATTCCGAGTTTACATTCTACAAACAGGAGAGCAAGTCAGTCAGTCCCTCTGAATCGCTGTTTGAAGGAAAACACACAGTATGATCCAGATATACAAGTGATTCTTTTGAATGAATGAGAGGACTTCACCTGGGTCAGCCTCTTTCACCTCCTTTAGCTTGTGTTCAGCAGCAGAGGACAGCTGCTGGTGAGGGATGCAGCTCCTGGCTTTCTGCTGCAGCTCAGGGTTTTCATACAGCATCACATGTTGAAAGTTTGACTGGAGAGTGACAAAGAAGCTCATACTGCTCTCCTGACAAGAAAGACAAGAAAACATCCAGATCACAAACTGCTGCAATGTATAGAAAAATACTTCAGACATGTTCAAACACAATTTCTGCCATTTAAACCAGTGATGAGCACAGCTTTACCAAGGACGATGGCTGTGGTGGAGGTGGTGAAACCGGCTGGATGGAGGCAGCAGCAGAGCTCTCTGGAGCTGAGGCTGAGGACGCAGCAGCCTGAACAGTGGGTTGGACGGGCTGTCCTCCGCACAGCCTCTGATCCCTCTCTGCTGCTATGGATTCCCTGATGAGCTTGAGCTGTTCAACTGATGCAGACTTGGGGAACACCAGGTGGGTCTCAGCCTGAAAAAGAGGTGATAATAATATTTACTTACAGTCAGGCAGGTGAAAGGTGACCAAGGAAATTAAGCATGTGGTGCAATGAGAATACTGGCTGTAACACATTATAGTAGACACCTGGCAGTTACTTATGAATTGTACCTCCTCAAATCCCATTTCAAAGAGGCATTCCACAGCACCTTTGATGGGCAACAGCTTGGTGGAGAAAGTAGGATTTCCTATGCGGATCGATCTGTACTTTTCCTCACTGGGATATCTGTTAGGAGGTGATATGAGGAGGTAGAGTTGTGTTGGAGCTTTTGAGTACATAATTTGCATATGCGAAATTAGTTATGGGCTCATAACTGAGATATATACACACACATATAATAAATTGGCATCATTAGTTTAACTAGTATTGTTGTTCATTGTACACGTGGCAGTAATATACTATGCACATCAGGGCAGTTTCTTACACCCATATTTGTATGTGTGAACCTTTAACTTTAACTACTTGACTCCACAGCGTATTTGAGAGACAATGTCAGGTGAGGTAGAGGGGAATATAGACAGTTTCACTATTTAAAACTGCTTCCTGGTTAGTCACTCATATGCCGAATTAACCACCACACCGCCGTGGTTAATACTGAAGTTATGCCAGTGTATGGGCGTGTGCGGAGTCCTAAGGAAAAATAAAAATGCAAGATTTTTTTAAACACACTGGTTAGACGTTGTGTCAACACCACCGGCGGCGTATACCGGGGCTCACGGTGAAGGTTAGCTTTACCGGCGGAGTGACACGATATTTGCGACGTTGTGTGCATTTTGTAAACAGAACAGAAATATTGTACCGGTAATACAACCTGAGCTTAGCTAACGTTACAACAGCACTTCTCAACACACCGCTGCTGTGTTGCGTTCAATTCTCAACCTTACCTTAAAATGTTGTCCGCGTATGTCAGTAATAACTTGGCGGCGTCTAAAAACACTTCATTAGAATTCTCACACAATGTTGTGACTGCTGGTGACACCGCCATACTGCTATTTCTTGTACAACAGCAACTGTCCCCTGCAGTTTACAGTAGCTAATGCTAACAGTGGGATTTCACCTACTAATGTTAGCTGTTTAGGGTCCTGAGTGTAGTTGACCTATTAGCGCCTGTATACGCGTTCGCAGCATTACAAATATTGTACATAGCTTCTTGTATTTCACTATAATTGTGTATGGCGTATAAAGCACGTTTATCTTTGATCTCGCTCTGTCGGATTAATTAGATTTTTATTAATTGTATACTTACATGTAAACTAGACTGGCGTTCATGATTGCTACCTACAGTGTGTGCCTGCGGATGGACTGGCGTTTTCATTCCGTTAAAGCTTTCACTATTGACAGCTAACTCGTGCTCGATCTAGTAAGTGACAAACTTACTGAGAAAAGTTCAGAGTTCAGTTTCGCATGGCGGACATTTTGTACATTTATTCCTTAGATATTATTCACCAAATGACAAGCTAGCTGTGTCCAATTTGACCGAGAATCCAGCATGTGTGCTTTATCACTGTCCTGCTGGACTAAACTCCAGCCGAGAACACAGAACATAGGGGCACTCCTTCAAAAGAGCGTCTGTGTTTGTCCTAACCAAGATTCCAGACAGCACAGCTCAGGGAAGCGCAAGAGGAGGGTTGTTATTACTGGTATAGGGTTAGTGTGTCCTCTGGGCACAGGGACTGCTCTACCCTGGGACCGCCTGATTCAGAGCCAGAGTGGAGTTGTTGCCCTTGAGTCAGAGGGGTACAAGACAGTGCCCTGTAAAGTGGCAGCGCTGGTACCCAGAGGGAGTGAACAGGGTCAGTTTGGGGAGGAGAGGTTTGCCTCTCGCGGGGAGATCAGCAGCATGTCACCGGCCACTGTAATGGCCCTTGGAGCTGCTCAGCTGGCTCTGGAGGACTCGGAGTGGTACCCCACAACCACAGAGGAACAGCTCAACACTGGGGTGGCTGTCGGCATGGGCATGGTGTCGCTGGATGAAATCGCTCGCACCGCCACTGCCTTCCAAGAAAAGGGCTACAACAAAGTCAGCCCCTTCTTTGTGCCCCGGATCCTTGTCAACATGGCTGCTGGGCACATCAGTATCAAACACAAACTGAAGGGTCCCAACCATGCTGTGTCCACAGCGTGCACCACAGGCGCACATGCCATAGGCGATGCCTCCAGGTTCATCGCCCACGGGGATGCAGTTGCTATGGTTGCAGGAGGAACAGAATCCTGCGTGGGGCCTCTGTCGATGGCCGGTTTTGCCAGAGCACGGGCCCTCGCCACCAAATGGAATGACAACCCCACGCTGGCCTCGAGGCCCTTTCACCCAGAGAGAGAGGGCTTTGTGATGGGCGAAGGAGCGGCGGTGCTCCTGCTGGAGGAGCTGGAGCACGCAGTGAAAAGAGGAGCCAGGATCTACGCAGAGGTCCTGGGATATGGACTCTCAGGGGATGCCAGCCACATCACCGCACCCACTGCAGATGGAGATGGAGCATTCAGGTGACTCATTTGAAAGCAGACACTCTCTGTTTCGGTATTTTGCTCATATTTGACATTTTCAAATAGCAACCAAAATGTCAGTAATTCTTCCACAAAACTACTGTTACTTATTAAGCAGTGGTTCCCCAGCTGGGGATCAGGGCTCTTGAGTACTTAGAGTGGTCACAAGATGATTAACAGAATAGGAACGCAGGCAAAAACATCTCTGCCATACACAATTATGTTTATTTATTCACGCTTTCCTCCAATATCTAGTTTTATCTCATTCAAGTTTTTGTTATTTTTAACATTTTACAAAACATACAAAAAGACAGTAAAAACAGTAAAACTGTGTATTTTACTGGACACCACCCCACAGTGTCCAGCTATATAAACAGAAAAGGAAGTCAGAAAGCGCAACCCTGGCACCCCAATATTCTTTTATATTCTGTAACCTAGTTCCCCAAACCCTTTTCTGTTTCCCCCTTAATGTGTGTCAGAAAAAGCTGCCAGATTTAGCTGGCTTTGCTTTTGGACGTTATTTACATCATGGGTTTAAGCTGCGCTGTACACTCTGGTCTATATGGGATCTTCCAGTTTCATAAAATAAGCCTGCCTGCTACAACAAAACCTGTCGCTGTCAGCCAAACTCTGCTTTAGTCAGCCCTGGTGGCAGGAGAGATTTACCCCCTAACAACAATTTATACCTCTTTCCAAAAAGAACAATACCAAGAGACAACCCCACAGAACGTGTAGTATTTGCCCACTTTGTTCTCGTACAATAAGCAGCATTGGAAATGAGCAAACTGAGCCAAAACAACAAAAGGAAGATCAAAGTTGTAATGAACTGAAACTACCCTCTAACTGTCTGATCACTGTCTTTACAGATGCATGTCTGCTGCCCTCAGAGATGCTGGCGTCTCACCGGCAGATGTGACTTACGTGAACGCCCACGCCACGTCCACACCTTTGGGGGACGCAGCTGAAAACGCCGCCATCAAGAGGCTCTTCCAGCCAAACCTTGAGAGCCTGGCTGTCTCCTCCACCAAGGGAGCCACGGGCCATCTGCTGGGGGCCGCAGGGGCCCTCGAGGCAGCGTTCACCGCTTTGGCCTGCTACCACGGGGTCCTGCCCCCGACCCTCAACCTGGACCGCACAGAGCCAGAGTTCGACCTGAATTACGTTCCCTGCACAGCGCAGCCGTGGCAGACTCATGGCCGACGGGTCGCCCTCACAAACTCATTTGGGTTTGGTGGCACCAACGCCTCACTGTGTCTCGCCAGCACCTGATGAGCGAGACACTCACAGAATATTTGTCAGTAGAATTGATTAGCGCTGCTGCTGTTTGTGTGTGGGAAGTTCTTATTAACTGATTTATTTAAAGCCGCTACAAGAAACTTTCATTTTGTGTTGATTCTGATAGCCCCTGTGGACAAAAGCGGTAGTGTCTGCGTTGTTTCGCCTGATTTCAATGAGAATTCAACCATATTTAAGAATAGCTACATAGAAATAGCCAATCTACTCGCTGATGGTCTTTTCTGTTTATGTAGGTCATATAGAGGTATCGGTATGACATTGACCCTTCCTAAATCCCGCCCCTTTTTTGCTCTGTGCTCCAATAACAGTTGAGCAAGCCGCGGTCAGAACCTCCGTCAGCTTTCTCCTTTCCCGTACTTAGCTATGCGATGTGCTAGGCTCATCTGTGTTGAAAATGAAATCACATTTTAGCTAATATAAGTTAGCTAATATTAATTGAATTTAAACTTAAGTGAGCTAATATTACAAAAATACAAAAAGCTAGCTAACTAGCTAAGCAATGATTTGTGTAAATAAGCTAGCTAGCTAGGTCAATCTGTTTCATTACTGGTTCAAAACTCTGAAATATGTTTAAGGTAAAAATCCGAAACGTCAATGACCATCTATAAACTGCAAAGACTAAAAATTCTGATGAAAGCACTAAATCATTGGAATCTCCTCAACTGTATTATTCCTGCTCCTCCAGCCCTGACAGGCACTGCGTCTTCGACACAGCGGTGGAAGAGGTTTTCAGATCCCATTCCTACGGAAAGGTATCGGTAACACAAGGTTTCATTAGTGTATAAGCACCTGAATATAGGAGTTGTTGTGTTTTGTTAACTGAGAATGAGCCGTTGTTATCTACAGACACTGCGGGTTACCTTCCATGGAGTACTAGATAGTGGCGTTCATATTTTGTTACACGTTTCACAACCACTGTAGTTTCTCCTTCCTCTGGAAGGGGAGGTGAAAGTTACAGATCTACAACTACCCCTCTAGATGCCCTAAATCCTACACACTGGTTCTTTAAAGTATTAAGATTTAGCAAAGGAATTGCCACTGTAACGATTATTTATGTCTGACGTTATAAGGTTGTTAATGTCGGAGCAGTATTTTACTGTTGGAGCAACTCGAGGTGGAGCTGGTTTTTAAATTCTTTATACAGTTAAGGAGTTTAATCCTGTGGTTCCTAACATAGGGGTCCGGCCACCTGAAGGGGCCACAAGATAAATCTGAGGAGTCGTGAGATGATAAATTAGGCAGGAAAGAAGAAATAGACAGTAGCGTATTATATTTTATGAGCAAATCCTATGTTTTATGTAAAAACTTAATCTAAAACTATACTAAATAACTAGTAACTGTAGTGGTTTACTGTAGAGGAGTAAAAAGTATTCAAACAATAAAAACAGTATTTCCCTCTGAAATGTGGTGTAAAAGTATAAAGTAGTATCAGAACTGCACTTAGGTACTGTACTTTAGTAAATGTACTCAGTTGCTTTCCACCACTGCTTACACATAAGATCCAAATGAAGAGTTCCCCATCACTGACAAACACTCTGTTTGTCCAGCAGGGGGCGTTGGCTCACAGCAAGTCATACATGTTTCTCTCATGTACATTTCTAGTACATTTTAGACATTCACCAGAAAAATAAACACCACCTCTTTTACAAGCATCCAAATAGACTGAGGTCAAAGGTCACGGCACAGTGCTGTTCATATTATCCTTACCTGACCTTACAGCAACCATTAAATATCAGAGTGTTGGAAGAGGAAAGCAAGGTAGGGATACGGGAGCCTTTTAGATCTGTTAAGAGTAAAGTGAGAGCAAATTATTCAATAGAAGAGGTTGATATATTAAGAAGGTAATAACTGTTAATTGCCTGCTGTTAGCTTCCTATATCCAACCAGTGTTTTCTTTAAACATGAACTCAGACTCCAAAAAGCTTGGGCAATTTATTGCAATTAGGAAATAAGTGGTGCTGTATTTGTGTGCAGCTGACTTTAATAACATCCTGAGGCAAGATCTCACAGTGGTGTCTTTTGTTTTTCAAGGCACTCTGCTCTGCTCTCTGACTGCTGTTCTCTGTGGATTCAGCCTGTTTTGGCCTTTTACTTCAATGTTGAGAAAACAACAAGGGATCACCAGAGCAGAGGGGATGAGTAAGGCAGGTTAATTGGGGACAAAGTGCCATTATGTCAGGGTTGAAATGAAAGTAATAGGGTAAACAGTCCCCTAAGGGAAAAGGAACAGTTTTCCAAATTGTTACCTGTCTTCAGAATTTAAACGACAATTATTCTGCTCCTTTATACCGAGAAGAAACACACACAGCTCTTGTGTGGCATCCTCAGGGAGACATACAGTGACTTTAAGGGGCACTGTGGCCACTTGATATGATGGCTGAGAACATATTGCATGTGTGGTTACATTTCCACATGATCATTTTAGAGGCTGGGAGTAAGGCTCAATTCATTTTACAGCAGATTATGTTCCACTGAGAGGAGGAGAGAAACTGGTTTTACAGTGTAGTAACTGGGCCTCACTAGCGCCTCCTACTGACTGTAGTGTCTATTACAGCACTGAACATACTGTATGGATCATTTTGTTGTTCTCGGACTCATGAGGGAAAAGCTTGACATTTTAGGAAATACATGTATGTGTTTTCTTCCCGAGAGTCGAATCAGAAGATCGATACCTGTCTCACGTCTGTATGTTAACTATGGAGCTGGAGCCAGGAGACAAACTCCACAGGGCACCTTTAAAGGTAAGGTACGCCATTGCGGAGAGAGATTGAAGCGGCGGGCTTTGAAGCCAATTTGACATAGTGGCCGAACCGTGTAACTACAGCAATCACGTCACAACCCCTGCAGGATGACTCATTTAACTATGAGAATTTGATACATTCAGGTTGATGGTAAAATGATTTATCTCCAGTGCTAAACCTTATTGGATGGCAAAGAAAGGCGGATGGGCCATCTTGGAATGCAGTATGCAATACATCTGTGCTGTGTCGTTGTTCACTCTATATCATGGTATTTGTCTGTATGATTGCAAGGGGTTTTATAGCCACAAAGACCCAACCTGCATGTCCAAATACTCGAAGATATAACTACTCCAGGGATAGTGTGTATTTTTGGAAAAACAGGCCTTCAGAGTAGTGGGCTTTTTTATGATAATGAGCTGTTGGGCAAATGGGCTTTCGGTCTATTGGACTACTGGGGTTTTGTGATAATGGCCTGTGAGAACAATGGGAAGTGCCTGACATCTCTCATAAAATAGTTTTTTCAGACTAGAGGAGAAGTGAAGGGGTTACCAAAACACATCATTCACTGAAGATAGTATTTGACTTGATAGTGGATCAGTAAAGGTCAAAGGGTCTCCAAATCATTAAGATTCATCTTCTGGGAATCATGAATATTCACACCGAATATGGTAATCTGGCCAGTAGTGGAAAAATCTTGAGTTGGACTAAAGTTGGACATACCAGCTAACCAATATCACCACTTTAATCTACTAGTGGATCAAAATAACATCCAGTAACATAGATGTATCTCTCGTTTATGGTAATTATGTCATGGACTCTTCTACTCATGCTCTTACAATATTCCCTCAGTGTGTCACAATGCCTTTCTGTGTTGATGCCTTACACTATAAGTAGTGCATGAAGCCAAATTTGATCAAACCCTGCTTCTGAAGCCTTTGTTGCATGTCCTGTATATAAGCTTCGACGTCTTGTTCTGTATTTCACTTGATGAATAATTGCACTGTCTGGGCTGAATTTAATAGCATGATGTAAAGCCGGACCCGGATGATGAATCACTGTTCTGGGGAATGTCTTTCTAGAGCCATTTTTAGAGATTACGTTTTATTAACTCTTCTGGGTGTCACAGTTAGCTAATGAATAAATCAATTATTCATTCATTTTTTAATTTGAAATAATCCGACACAGATAAATGAGTTGCGACAAGGTTTTTTTTTTCTCTACCTTTTTTTTTTTGCGAGTTAGAAAGGAAAACCCGGCATCTTCATGGGGAATATTTTGGCCTCAGGATTTATACATCACTCCTTGTACAACTCTGGTTTCTAACCCTTAAGCAGTACACAAGTTTTGTAACTAGAGCTAACATGCACCATTGTTTCATTTCAAGTTGTAAATTATATCCACTGTACTTACATGAACAGGTTTCCCACCTTTAATAGAAGTGACTGGACATACAGTGTATGCCAGAACTATGTTACAGGATTAAATGTACAGATTGGAAGATGAGGATTTTGCAGCACTGCATTGTGATTCGTGCCCGGTGTACTCTGAGAGCTAAGTGTACTGTACCCATTCCACCGCTCCATATCAATAGTTCCTCTGCTGGGCAGGAACTATTGATTCCTACTGCTGTAATGATGATGACTTTGGTTCGTGTTATTCCTTCTTTTCCTCCTTTTTTTCAATTTTTTTTTTTTTTTACATCCCTGCCTCCCAATTAGGAGGTATCCAAGCTGAATTATGATTGCCATGGCAACAGAGTCAGCATGCATTCCCTTTGATATCACCCTGTCCCACATGGAGCACAGCTTATCACCAGGTTCTAAAATTAGACCTCCCCTCTCTCTCTGTGGCACACACTGGATGGCCTTCATTGTCTGTTATGACCATTATTCATGTCCAGTGTTAGCCTTTTGTTCAGTTATGGGATTCTGGAATTTTAGCCTTTATTAGATTAAATATTACAGTAGTACTTTATGTTAAACCACGCAGAAACCTCTGTGGCTAAAAAAAGAAGCCAACACAGAAGTATCCTTGAACGGCCACTTGGGGCTGGCTTCAAAACAGAGTCAATCTCAATAAGGTCCCATATTAATATGCCCAACCTTACAGCAGAAATAAACATGTTGACAGCCTGGGCCAAAAAACATTTTTGGTCTCTATAGCTAATTTAACTGGTCATGCCAACTGTAAGGGGGGTAAATCATATCAAGGCTTAAAGTTATGCATAATTAAGGACATGCCTGCTTTGAGTAACAGGTGGGTGCTGTCACAGGCGGCTGGTTTCAGCAACCACCGACTCAGCTCTACTAACACTTCACCTCTTTGCCCATTTTTAGATTAGCCATGAGCCTGCGAAGTCAGGCCTACCAAGATGGTGACGGCCAGAGCCGACCACACTGAGCTTCACAGGGACTACGTCCATGTTTTATACAATCTATGTGTTAAATATTATAAAGCAATTGAATTTATAAACATCTTATCATTTAAAGCAGTGGTTCCCAACCATGGTGTTGGCAAGGGTGTGTCCAGAGGTGGGGCCTGGGGTGGCCACCCCTGAAATCTGATTGGCCACCTCAAGTGCCACCCCATTATCCTTACCTCTTCCACGCACACTGTCTTTCAGAGGCTGTAGCGGGCTCCGTAGATGGCCTAAGGCATCCATTGGTACCAACCATGTCATGCTAGCATAAATAACACTTCAAAGTTAGGGTAAATTGGGCGATGGGATCCCTTGACCTGTGCATAAATTGAGAATGACTGGAAAGCTGATACATATACTTCATGCCGCACCTGCATAAGTCAATGCACCACTTGTGCCACTGCAGTCAAAATGGTATGGACATGTCCTTGGGTGTTGGGACCCACCCACTGTTTTGTTTTTTGACATTTCATTTTTGACATCATATTTTCCTCAGGCCTCTAAAAATGATTTATATCACTCTTTCCTGACATGTTTGCTTTGTTTTAAAGGGTCACACACCAAAAAGGTCAGCTACCACTTCCTTGGACTCTCCCAGTGGTTTTGGATGGTTCAGTCAATTCATTACCAACCACACATAGTTGAAACAGCTGCTGACCTTTTCCCAAACAATGAAACTTTAGTAGTTTCCTTTAAGCTTGGAAGGGGGAAGGGGAAGCAAGAGCGTAGTGATCTGCAACTACACTGCAAGATACCACTAAATCGTACACACGGACCTTTAAGAACAGATTTTGATACAGACCACCCTCCTACAAGACAGAGCCACCAGATTAGATAATAATGCAAGACCCACCTTAGTTGATATTGTTTAGTGGGGTAAATTCCCCAACAAAGTGGATGTTTGGGAGGTGGGCCTTCTATGTGTGCATGCAATAACCTAAAGCATGTATTTCATTTGTTCAATTGTTGTCACCACCAAGTAGGTAACTTTTATAAAAAATGTAAATAAATATTATCTTTCTCATGTACTACGGATAGGACATAGTGAAAGTTTCAGCAAAATATGAGAAAAAGTTATCTGTCAAAAAATGATCTGTTGCAGCTTTAAACAGAATGTCATCATTCTGTACATGGCAGACATTGACGTCACACTGCCATGTGACTTGTACACAAAAGGGAGGCCACATTCTCCAAAGAGCTGATATTGTAACAGGTTGACCACCATTGCGT